ACAGATGTGGAAGCACACGCCGCAGGCGGTGTGACGGTGGGGGTGGCTTTCCCGCAGAGCTGGCCCTGACAGGCCGTGGCTGCTGTCTCAGTGGAAAGGGCAGGAACTGGGCAGAGGGCCTGGCGAGCGCACATCCCCAAGCCCGGGCGCTGTGACCCCACCAGGGTGGGGGCTCCCTTGGCCTGGGCTCTTGGTTGCCCTGGCAGAGTCTTCCAGGACCTCCCGAGGCCATGCCATGCCCAGGCTGCCAGCGGACGCCTTTGGGGTTTGTGGCTGAGGACAGAGGCAGCAGCAAGGCCCTTCCCGCAGCAGAGGGCGGCAAGACGCACGGCCGGGCCTGCGCTGTGGTCTGGAGGCTCACACGGAGGTGTCGTCTCTTTTCTGAGATATACAGACTAATGACCAGTCGTATGTGAGGGCTGAGGTTTCTGGTTCCGGCGGCTGCGGGGCTGAGGTTTCCGGTTCTTTGCTGGTTGCCTCAGAGCCAGCAAGGGCGTGTGGGGCCCTCCTGTCTTTTGAAGCGTGATTCAGTGTCCCGCTGTAACTCTTCCTGACTTGTCTTCTGCTGCGAAGCTCTGAGCTCCCAGCCAGAAAGCATTCTGTTTTTAAGCTCTCATGTGATTAGACTGGACCCACCAGACAACCCAGAGTTCCTGCCTCTCTTAGGTCTGTAGCCTTAGTCATGCCTGCAGATTCCCCCTCTCCCGTGAGGTAACATGGTCACATGTTTCAGGGACTGGGCTCGAACATTGTTGGGGGCCTTTTGCCTGTCGCAGCATGGAGGTGCTCTGCCAACGCCAAGGCCCTACCTGTGTGTCACTTGTTTCTAGAGCATCCGCGTGTTCCCGCCTTCTCCCTCCTCCTGGACTCAGTTCCTGGAAGTTAGGAAGTCAGTATTAATGGGTCTCCTTCGTTGAGCTCAGACCCAGTGCACCAGGGGACAAAGTCTGAGAAGACCCTGGCACACGGGCCCCGGTCCCTGTGTCTGTGTGTCCAGAGACCACGCAGCACCATGGCCTGTGTCTGGTGACTCTCAGCTGAGCCCACACTTGCACCCCGCTCACCGCCCGCCCGCGAGGACCCCAGCATGTCTGTGCCTTCCCGCTCCAGCCCTCCACTCTTCACCAGCACGTTGTCTTCGAAGGGAGGGTCCTGCACAGAGCTGGCCCCCAGTGGATGCCGTGAGAATTAAGCTGAGATGGAAAGACTAATGACAAGGCTCCACCAGTCGTGTGTGAGTGTGACAGAACATGAGGTTCTTGTGGAAGGCAGATGTGCCTGGGTGTGTCTGGGGTGGGCTCCTGAATGGGTGGTGTAAATATTTTTATTTTATTAACCTAATAAATAAGAAAGAAACTGATCACACACATACAAGAGTCAGCGCATGTCCTCCAGGATGTCATGGCCTCAGTGTCCTCCTCTCGTCCTCCTGTACCACTGCTCTCTCTGCCGTGGCCCCAAGTAGATGGCTTTGCAGTGTTGTCGAGCCTTTCCCACATCGCTGAGAGGCCGTTAAAGATGTCAGAGACCATTAGTAAAGGCTGGTATTACATCTAAGGTCATTAATAAACAGGTGTACTAAAATAACGGGCATTAGAATGTTTTGTGAGCCCTGCACCTGCATGATTGGCTGGAACTTTTTACACGGATGAAATGTCCCTTCTGAGCCGCTCAGTACAGCAGCTGCCAGCCATACCCAGCACGTAAAATGCAGCTCTCATGACCAAGAAACTGAATTCTAAATTTCATCAGACTTAAACGTAAATGCCACTGTGGCAAATGGTTGCCACCATCTCACAGCCACGCGCACAGATACCCGTGGCCAGCGTGGGACCTGTGTGTGCTCATGGGAACCAGCCCTGAGCGTCTCTCCTGTGCAAGGTCTGGCTCTTTGTCTGAAGATAAAGGAGCAGAAAAGGTTGAGTGGCCACAGAGAAGACGGCGGCTGGGTTTTCTGCCCCCCACCCCCACTTCTGTCCCCGCGATTTCTGTTCAGTTGCATTTGGATTTCATCCTCCTTTGAGACTTATCGCCATGGCCCATCCTCTGTAGCATTTTGCAAAGGTGTCTGTGTTTTTCCTGTTATCTCAATGTAACACATTTAAACACACTTGAGTAGCAGGGTCTTCGCAGCAAAGGGAGCTGGCCCAGAGGATGCTAAAGCGTTGAGGCAGTAGCTCAGAAGTAGCTCTAAAGATCGCTTTCTGAGCCCTGTTTCCCACGGAGCTTGCAGGCCGGGGGGTAAGCAAACGGGCATCGACGCATGGGACGTGGGCTGCCCTGCCCCAGACTGAGCTCAATTCTGCCAGTTAAAACAGAAGTGTCCAAATGCCAGATTTCATTTGGAAACACAAGAGTTAGCCTTCACCATTTCTGCCTGTTTTGGGGTGCACTTCCAGGAATGTATGTGTATGTATGGTAATGAGTGTGTGGGAGGCACACTCACCCAGTGTGAATAAAGGCTCGAGTGAATCCTAGTAAATCGACCTGCGTGGACCGTGGATGCCGCCTGGGGCTGGAGCAGGACGCAGGATGGGTTCTGAGCGTCTCCAGCGTTGGCTACAGAGAGCACTGCTGCACTGATTGCCGTCTCCGGAAGAAGAGCTTTCAATCTACTTATTTTCCAAATGGAAGCATTCATTTCCAAAGGGAGCGTTATTTATTTTTTTTTAAAGAAGTGCTGAGCAGAGGTATTTGATCGTTTAAACTGAGTGTCAGTGTTTCGAGGGAGGGCGTTTAGAAACCTGGAGCGTTGAGACTGCTCCCTTGAAAAAGTGTAGTGTGGCTTTGTCTCTTGATCTCCTTCTCCCGTGACCCTGCACCTCTGGTAACACGGCCACTTGGTGTAGGTCATCTGAGGCACATGAAAGAGAAAGCTGTAAGACAGCAGAGATGGAAGCGAGCATGTGCACTTTCCTGCTGCTCTCTGCCCGGCAGGGAGGCAGAAGGACGTCCCGTGTGGGCTGTGCCTGGGAGCTGGCATCACGCCATCTGGGACAGCTGAGGAGAGGCGCCTGAAATTATGGATTTAGGCAAAATGTTCACGTGCTCTGTCCCGGTGCAAGTTCGGCTTGCTGCGACTGACTGAAGAAAGTAAAAAGCTCAGCCTTTTAAAAGGCGTCTGAGTACCCACTTCCAATGTGCGTGTGGGTTTCCCCCCATCAAACAGTTCTCTGGACGCCAGCTGGGTGTCCTATGATTCAACTCGGGTCTGACACTGTCTGCCCAGAAAGTGTGAGGTTCCACAGGCTAAGGGTTCAGCCCCCCAAGCCTGTTCCTCGCTCTTCAGATGCCAACCGAAAGCCCATGTTGCCACCTGTGCTGACTGTCTAGCTATAAATCAGAGGCTCCAATGACCCCCTCTGTGGGTTTCATTAATTTGCTAGAGCGGCTCACAGAATTCAGAGAAACAGTCTACTTACGAGACCCCTGGTTTATTATGAAAGGATGTAAGTCCAGAACAGCCAGGTCGAAGAGGGGCCTCCTCTCCAGGGGTATCGTTCTTTCTGAGTCCCGTGTCCTCCAGCCTGAGGCTCTCTGAACCCTGCTTTTGGGTTTTCAGGAGGCTTCATTGCTCAGGTGATTGTTCAGTCTCTCTCATGGCCACTGAGTTAGCCCCAGTCCCTCTCCACTCACCACAAGTCAGGAGGGGACTGAAAGCTCCACCCGTCTTATTCATGGTTGGTTTCCCTGGCAACGAGCCCCCAGCCTTAGGTGCTTTCCAAAATAAACCCAGTGGTGGTGGAAAGGGGCTTGTTATGAACAATAAGACACCCTTTCACCTTTATTCTGAAGAGATTTCAGCAACTGAGGGCTAGAGACCAAATAGTATAACCCAAGATGCTGCCATGGCTCTTATCCTCAGGAAATTCCAGGGGTTTTGGGAGCTGTGAACCAGGAACAATGGTCGATGATGACAAACTACGTATCTTGGTCATCTGAATGACCAAATAAATTTCTTATAAATCGCCATATCTCACTTTTTGAAAGAATGACTGAGTAAATCAAACACTCTGTAATTATTTAAGCAAATTAAATACTCAGCAAACCTTTGTCGAGTGCCTGGCATGGGGCGACTTTGTATGGGATGCAGGACAGGCGCTAAGCTGTGTGTCTGGGGTGTGGGGAGCCCGAGGGATCCTCAGCTTAGCCACGCCCGGCCTGTGGCCCGGCCGCCTCCTGGGCCCTGCTCTTGTGTGTCTGCGTCCCTGTGCTGCCCGGTGGCGAGGCTGGCAGAGCTTGTGCAAAGTGAGTGTCTCTGCTTCGGTGAGCTGCCTGGGAACATGGTGGTGGTCCAGGAAGAAGCCATGTGATGTCAGCCCGTACATAGGGTATTGTCTGTCCCGCGGCGTAGTGCTGGCTGTGATTTTGCATCATGTGCTGCTGGTGGTGTGGTGGTGGGGTCAGCTCTGCGCCATCATCTCCTCTGAGTGTTCCCAGTGAGATCCAATGCAGGTTCCTGTGAGGATGGAAAGTTTCCGTGTCTGCGTGGCCCAATACGGCAGCCACCTGTGGTTACTGAGGACTTGAAATGTGGCTAGCGCAATGGGGAACTGGATTCTTAACTTTATTTAATCTTAATTAAATTTAAATTGATGAAATAGCCACGTGTGGCTGGTGGCTTCCGGGTTGGACAGTGCAGGTCCAGACAAGTGTCACCCCACTCTGTGGCTCCTGGAGCCCGCCCTAGCTCCGTGCTGTCTGACCCCCTTGCTGCTGCTTCTCCTCCATGCCCAGCGTGGTTCCACTCCTGCAAGGAGCTCCCGGGGCCCTGGCACTCATGGGGTGTGTCCTCCGTGCCCGTGATGCCGTGAGGATCTCACTACCATCGCCTGCTCATGTGTCTGTCGTGCCCTCCGCTGTGAGCCCTTGGAGAGCAGGTGTAACCCCACCCCTTGGCTCCCTGCCTGATGTCACAGGAGCTCTACACATGGCTGCTGAAGGAACAAACGCACGACAGAGTGGGGTCTGCTCATGTCACAAGCCTTACGTCGTAGTGTGTATGCCAGCCCTGCGCCAGGAACTTTCATATTTGGACCCATCTGGGTGTGAAACACGGCCTACTTCCCAGGTGTGTTTGGAAAATCTACTTGACCTCCCAAAGGTGCATTTCTTGTTTTGTAAAACATGAATAATACCAACACCACAGAGTTGTTCTGAGGCTTAAAATGAGATGAAACGTCTGGGCTGCATGACATCTTTCCAAGCCCGTGATGTTAGCCAGTTTCTTCTTGTGTACCTTTTCATCCTCAGGAGGACTTCAGTCCATTCAGGGAACCAGAGTTCCCAAACAGGAAGCGAGTTAGAAAACATTGCTCCTACGTTCATGTCCACCTCTGCACATTTCTAGCTAGGCCCCACCACTTCGTGCTCAATGAGTATTTTTGAATGGATCCAGAGACTATTAAAAGCTAATTATTCCTCTCTAAAGTTTATCCCCTTAAAAAATAAAACTGCATTTTGCAGCAGTAGGATTTGTACATTTTAAACACTACAGACTGGCCATGCTCTAATCCCCCATCTCAGCATGTTGGTGCAAAGTCACTTTTTTTTTTTTTTAAATTGGGGAATTGGGGGAGGGGAACAGTGTTGGGGAATTGGGGAGGGGACCAGCCAAGTTGTTGTTCTTCAGTCTTCGTTGTGGAGGGCGCCAGTCACCACCTGGCTGCCCGTTGGCAGCTTGTGGCCTCTAAGCTCAAGGTGCTGTGTTCAGTCTTAGTTGCGGGTGGGCATAGCACCATCCCATGTGGGAGTTGAACTGGCAGGCTTGTTGTTAAGAGCGCACGCTGTATCCACTGAGCCATCCGGGCGGCAGCTCAGCTCACGTTGCCGAGTTCAGTCTTAGTTGCAGGCAGGCGTAGCCCACCATCGAACAGGCAATCTTGTTACACCAGCTGAGCCATCCTGCCACCTGTTGTTAGCTCAGCGACAGCTCAGCTGAGGCGCAGCGTCACTGGCCCATGTGGGAATCGAACTGGTGGCCCTGTTGCTCAGAGCTCGCGCTCTTAAACCAACTCTTAACCAACTGAGCCACTTGGCTGGCCCCAAAGTCACTTTTCATCCAACCTGAAGGGATCAGTGGGTGGGAGGCACCCGCCACACTCACTGGACAATGTGTGTGTGGGTGACCGTCTCAGACTGTGGCATGGGAGCCTGGAGGAGACCTTGCTCACGCATATGGGATCTGCTGTGCTTCAGTACCTGAACTGACAGAGCCCGGCTTTCTCCTTGTAGGAATCATGGCCGAAGCTCCCGGGGAGGGGACACTGGCCAGGTCTCCCGATTTCATCAAGCTGATTGACATGGCATCTGAGTCCGTAGGAGGGAAGGTAAGCGGGTCTCTCTCGGCAAGAACAAGGCTGAATGAAGCCATGCTAGAGACCCCACTCGCCATGGCCGAGAGCCTAGTTGCAAAGGCAGGAATCAGGTAGGAGGGTCCGCCTATCTGAGGAAGCACATTATCACAAAAGTCTTCCAAAGATTTTTTTTCTTAATTTGGTGGCATTCTGAACAAGGGTAGCATTGCCCTAAGTTTAAAGCAAAAAGACATTTTGCACCTGTGAAAAGAATTCTGTCTCTCTGTGGGTTTTTTGTTTTTTTGTTTTTTTTGTTTTACAATTTAGAGCTATCAGTGGCTCATGGATATAGTATGAGAGTCACCTGGACAAGGTGTGAACACAGTGTGCAATGTGCCATGGTACCAGCAGTGAGCAGAAGACTAAGGTACCTGAGTGTGCAGAGGACTAAGGTACCTGAGTGTGCAGAGGGACTAAGATACCTGAGTGTGTACAGAGGGACTAAGATACCTGAGTGTGCAGAGGACTAAGGTACCTGAGTGTGCAGAGGGACTAAGATACCTGAGTGTGTACAGAGGGACTAAGATACCTGAGTGTGCAGAGGACTAAGGTACCTGAGTGTGCAGAGGACTAAGGTACCTGAGTGTGCAGAGGACTAAGGTACCCGAGTGTGCAGAGGACTCAGGTACCAGCAGGGTGTGAATTTGTTAAGATACCAGTAGTGTGGTAGGCACTGTCTATGGTGTAAGGGCAAGACCCATGCCTACCCTCAGGAAGCTTATGCTCTGCCAGGGAGCTGGATGGAGAGTGCAGACCCGAGCTGTATTAAGGCTGGGGCAGCGTGCAGCCAGGGTGGGGTGCAGGTGGAGACGTGTGGGCATGACTCTCCAGGTAAGTGATGCTCTGAGTGGGGAAGGGAGCTGGCAAGGCAAAGGGGGGGGGCTGATTCAAGCAGAGGGTGCGACGAAGGGGCTTGGCCAGCGCCAGTGGGGTAAGTGTTTCTGGAACACCCCAGGTGCTTGTGGGGAGAGGCCCCAGGTGCCCTTGAGGGCTTGTACCCAGAAGCCATTGAAGGATGCAGAGTTGGGGAAGGACTCCTACAGTCTGCTCACCTGTGCTCTGTCCCCACAAATTCTCAGGGGCAGCCCCACCAACAAGCAGCGACTGCCGTGTACTTGACCCCCCAAGCAGCCCGCAGTTCCAAAGCAGCGAGGTCCTGGCCTACCTTGTATGTTCTGGGCTGGACTCAGAGACCAGCGGGCTGCGTCCCCTCCAGATTAGCAGTTCGTGGGTCCTGGCTTTGAAAGGGGACCAGCAGCCTGTTTGGCTTGGGAAAGACCCTATTATAACTGCTTTCTGAGTGTAATTTGGAGCATGCCACCTCACTCTCAAAATCACCCTGCTTTGGTGGATCAGTTACCTGCTGTCCTCCCTGCAGGGTGTCCCCCAGTGACCCCAAAGCACAGGTGTGGCCCAACACCGGCTTTTTCGCCACTGCTCTGTTTGAGAAAGGGTCACAAAGCCCAGTGTCCTCAGTCCTTGAAAGGAAGAAAGTTGGTTAATTTTCTTCCCAAGTGTAAGAAGTTAGCACTTTTGCATCCAGATGGTAAAGAGGATTAAGAAAAAAGGGTGGGAAGGAAAGATTACGGGGAAGACAGGCAATGAAATCGAAACATTTAAAAAGCATCTCAGCTTAATTGCATATTGTTTCTCTTCCCCCAGGCAATTTCACGTTTTCTTTTTACTGCATCTCATAACGTTTCACTAGGGCATGAAATAAAATGGTTTTTAATTTACGGTTATTTTATCTTTACTTCTTTCTTTATTTGTCTAGATTTTATTTGCAACAGATGACTTTTTTGCTCCTGCAGAAAACCTTATAAAGGTATTGTAAATCGGCGTTGTGCGGTGGGGGCTTCTGGTGTCGTGATGGAGGGAGCCAGTTAATTAAAACCCGCGCGCACACTTGGGGTGGAGGTCACGTGATGCGGCCCAGTGAATTCGCATTTGAGAACAGCAGACACGTGTAGAAGTCAGCAGCAGCTCAGGCACAAGACAGGGACATGACAGAGACATTGGGGACCACACTGCTTTATGGAGCACATTACTGACATCCTCTATCGAATGTGGAAACC